GGGCTCTGTGTCAATCTAAGTGGTTATTTCTGCAGCAGTTGCACCTTTTTTGTCTTTCTAACGGTTTCATTACAGCTGAAATTTGTGGAGATTTTACTTTCTGTTTTTAAATAAAATCTGACAACTAACGAACAAAGGTGGCACCCCTCCAGAAAGATGATTGCCAAGTTTCTGTAGCATGGCCTGGCATGTTGGTGACATCGCTTACAAAATTTGTCTTGAACGGTTCTGTCCCCAGTCACCTGAATGTGGTGTTGAACTATTGTGTCCCTCTGCGTACACTTGTGTGCATCATACCATATTCTGTAGTTCTGCTTTGTCTGAAAGGTTTTTGAGAAGGATTGCGTACTGCATTTCTCTCATTTTCTTCTGGAGGTGATGCCTGAGCTCTGTGTGCTGATTCCTCATTTCTTCACAAAAATTATTTTAGAGGTTCTCCCATTAGAACTGGGAGTGTGTCTTGCAAGTATCCTGACCATTATATGAAGGTCAGAGAAAGAATTTACTTGGGGGAGGGGGAGGTGTGCCTTTGGTGGCAGATCAGGAGTCTGGAGTGGGATGTCCACAAGGCTTTAGCCACAGCTGGTTTGGTGTAGGTAGGGTAGAGCAGGTCGAAAGGAGTGATCCCCAGTTCTGGCTGTCCTCACAGCCATGCTGGTGGAAATGATGCTGTGAGGGAAGGAGGCAAAGTGTGTGGCAAGAATTAAGAAACCTTTCTGCTGCTCTCTGTTGAGTCGTATCTGTGCATCTTAATCTCAGCTACCATTTGCTCTTTTCCATAGGTGGTAGGGGATGGTTGGTGCATGTGAGGGTATAGCTTGTATCAATACCAGCATAAGCTGTTGTGGAGAGCCACATGGCTGCACGGTTTGTTTTTGCAGTCACTGAAGTTTCTGACTATGTTTAATGTCCAGGATATGAAGGGTACTGCTGTAGGACGGATGAATCCTAAAACACCAATGACACAAATTTCCATCGGGTTCCGGCCTTCTGGTTACAGCCTGGAGTTCCGTGTGTTTTACTTGTTTCAGTGCCCCAGGCAGCTAAGGTTCTGCCATAACTAGAAGTTTCATCGGCTGACTTACTGGATGTTATTTATAAACAGTTTTCTATTAAGCCTAGCTACTGAGCATTGAATTGGAGCACCAACTTCCTCCCATCACCCGTGATTGATGAATTTTGCTTTAACGGTGCTTTTCATACCTGATTGAAACTTATTATTGTAATTATTTGTTCCTTAAGAGTCATTTAGTATTGTGCTTCTCTTCCTAAAATGCAGTTTGTGAAGTATTTTCATAATCATTCCTGTTTCAGATAGATGGATAGAACAAGGGGATGATCTAAAGTTGCAGTGAGGCCTGTTCATTTTGGTGTACTCCAAAAAAAAAAAGAAAAAAAACCCTGACTAAACCAGTAATTAGCCAGTAAGTTTTTGAGGAAGAAACTTGTCAGCTAATGCATTATCTTTTTCCTCTCCAGTTGCAGATCCATACATTGCTATATATTATGAACTTACCCTGCCCTTCCTTTTGTTTTTCATTAACTACTTTGACCTAAACAGCAGCTGTTAAAGACTGCAGAGTGAGTGTTTTCTCTTTCTCTTCACACAGCGGTTGTAGCATGAAAGGTCTCTGGTTTACCTCATAGCAAGAGTGGTTTGCTCTACTGGAGAGGTGTATTGCACCATTGGAAAGACATTGTTTCTTGTCCTTGACTTGGTAAACAAGAACATATTTCTTAAGCTTGTATTTTCATATGAAAAGTTTTAATTCTTGTGAAATGGTGTCCTGGTTTTGGCTGGGATAGAGTTAATTTTCTTTCTAGTAGCTGGTATGGTGTTGTGTTTTGGGTTCAGTATGAGAAGAATGTTGATAACACACTGATGTTTTCAGTTGTTGCTAAGTAACTCAATCAAGGATTTTTCAGCTTCTCATGCCCAGCCAGCAAGAAGGCTGGAGGGGCACAAGAAGTTGGGAGGGGGCACCACATGCGACGTCATGCCCAGTATATAAACTGGGGGGAGTGGGCCTGGAGAGTGGACCGCTGCTCGGGAACTAACTGGACATCAGTCAGCAAGTGGTGAGCAATTGCATTGTGCATCACTTATTTTGTATATTCCACTTCTTTTATTAGTATTGTCATTTTATTATTGTTATTATTATTATTATTTTCTTCCTTTCTGTTCTATTAAACAGTTCTTATCTCAACCCATAAGTTTTACCTTTTTCCTTCTGATTCTCTCCCCTGTGCCACTGGATGTGGGGGAAGTGAGTGAGCGGCTGCGTGTTGCTTAGTTGCTGGCTGGGGTCAAAGCACGACAAATGACGTTTTCTGTTTCTGATCTGGAAAAATGATCCCAGTCGGGGAAGTAGTAAAATTGTTACAAACCTGTTATCTAATGGATTTTTTGCATACTGAATTTATCTAGTGTTTACTTCAAAGCATCTTTTAAAAAGATGAGCAGTGGTGATCACTTGGCCTTGAGTAGAGTATGTTACTTGTCTTCTTGTAATCTTTTTTTCTTTTTTTTTTTTTTTTTTTTGACTTTTTGAGTGTTATTCTCTGAGACAGAAAAAATGGCAGCATGGGATGTTCCACTGGAGTAACTCTGTGCTTAGGAATTATGTGGCTGCTTTGCTAGGGGGTCATAGAACTTTGGAATTCTGTTTTAATAGTGCAGAATTGATTGGGATGGCCAGGATGCATATAAAAATAATTTTCATAAAGTGCAGGAATTTGTACAATAAAACAGAATACTTTGTTTTTAAACATGGGATGTAACTGGATTTATACCTGAAAGATTCTTCTGATGTTGAGTTTATATATGTTAACTCCTTAAGCATTTATCCTACAATGCCACAAACCTTTACTTCAAATACTCCTCTGCTGTTTTATGTTTTCCATTCAGGAAAATGTAAGGGAAGACTGAATTTAGTTTTGTAAAAGTATTAATCAGATTTATTGTACTGTTTTAAGTATATGCAAGTGATAGATTTATATTTCCTTAATAACTGCTTGGACTGTTACTGAAGATTTGGATCAGATAAAATAGAGCTCTTAGTATATACTCAAAATGCCAAATAAACTATTGCAGGGAGAAGAGAGTCAAGTTGTTGAATAAAGGGTAATGCTGAAGGACTTGTAGGTGTATCCTGGGAGGGATGGCAGCAGAATCCCATGTCCAAAGAACCACCCAGTGTTCTGGTGTGGTTCTCATATTGCAAAGTACAGTGGAGGTATCTTTCTCCAGCTAACATGGCTTTCATGTTGCCAGCTGTCAGTGTAATATGTCCTATGCCAGAGGTAAGACTTGAAAAGAACTGGGTGGCAGTTTTCAACCTGGATTTGGAAACAATGGGAGTTTATGGATACATTTGTAATGGCGATAAAAAATGGAGAGAGGTTTTATGTGAGTGTTTGCACCTACCCGTGCTTTTGTTTAGGTTTTTTTTTTCTGTTGTCTCGCTGTTTAAGTGCCCTGTTTATGCACTTTACCACATTTTAATCTTTTATGCCTCATCCAAAACTGTGAAGTATAAGGAATTAATAATTTTCTGGATAGAGACCTACTGTGAAGAACATCTTGTTGAAAGCCTTCTTTCTTTGGCCAGTTGTGCAGCACTACGTACTTACACAGTCTAGTCCTCATAGGGCAGGCTAGCTTTTTTGGTTTTTGGATGGCTCTATTTGTGTATTGGTTAGTCTCCTTTGGTTAGCACTGAGATCCAGAGCTGCTTCTAACATTTCACCAGTTCATGCAGATCTCTCCAAGCTGTATATAAAAAAAAATAATCTTATGCACTGAACATAGTAAAACAAGGAAGATTCTTACTATTGTAAAAAATTATCATCAAAAAGAAGAGTTTCTGCAGTGTACATCGTGTATCGTAAATTGTGTCTAGTGCATTGAACTTGGTGAGGGGAGGGGGTTTAACAGCGGTTCTGCTTCCTTTGCTGTGGGTAAATGAACAAATTAATGGTTTGGTGTTGGTGTTCTGGAGTTGAGGAGAGAGAGAACATGAAACTAGTGAAAACCACATACAAGCTCTGACAGTATCAGTGAGCCATAATGTAACCTGCTATATAGAATGGGAAATTGATATACTATCTTCAGGGTGTGTATTTTAATTGCATATGAAGAGATAACACCGAAGGGCTCCAAGGTATAAACCAAAACGTTGTCACGCCCACCCACCCCCTTTTTGCAATATCATACACACTAAACTGCTCTATCATTTTGGACTGGCATCATGCAGTGTGATATTCCATACTGAATATGCCTTCCAGTTAAAATCTTTGGCCTATAGGCAGTTGTTCTGGAGGAGAAGGTAGATAGCAAGGGTGGTTCAAAAGAGGACCAAGGAAGTCCTGCCTGTGAGCTGTGAGCAAATACTGCTGATTTGCTGTTGGGAAATACTGCACTGTACTATGAAAGCAGTAGGCAGGATTAGACCCAGCAACTCACTTAAGCATGAAGTGGCCTGTTTTCAAATACAAAATTTATTTTTACATTCACATAATTTCATTTAAAGGTAAGTTCAGATGTAGGCCTTAACCCTGGAAAAAAAAAAAAAAAAAAAAAAAGCATCGTGCTTAACTATGCCCTCTGTGTAGTCCTTTTTGCCTTAGCCATTTATACCACCCAGTTGCGGTGAAGTATCTAGAGGTGCCTTTGCCTGACATCTATGCAGGTAATTAGAATGGCCTGAAGAGTTTCTAGGTAATTATCTTTATGCAGCTCAATTTATCTGCAAGTCATGTGAGAGTGACACTTGGCATTTAGCCATGTTGTGCTATTAGCTAGATTCTGAACTAGTATTTTTGGGATTGACTCTAATGGCTTCTATCTCTTACCAGAAGTTAGAGACTCAGCTGCCTCTCCATGGACCTACTGGTTTGATCTGGGGTGTAAGGAAAAAGAATAACTTACTTGTTTTCCTGGTAGTAATCTGGCTGGTTTCAGGTATAGTAATTTTATTTTGTTTCTTGGTCCCTTTCAGCTTGTACCTCCTTTTAAACCTCAAGTGACATCTGAGACAGACACCAGGTATTTTGATGAAGAATTTACAGCTCAGACTATTACAATAACACCGCCTGAAAAATGTAAGTCAGAAATTATGCATAAGTATAACTTAAAAATAATGTTTATAATAAAGCACTGTGTAAGGTTTTTTCTGTTTGAATGGAAAAACTATTCTTACTGTTACTAATAAAAATCTTCATATCGAAGTGTGTAAGAGTAACTCTCAATGACAGTGTTCTTTTAAAGAAGGAGTAATTACAAAACTTAGAATATTAGATCACTCTGGGTTGGGTTTTAGAGGCGTTTTTGGTGTGGTTTTTTTGTTTTGTTTTTGTTTGGTTCAGTTGTTCTGTTTTCTTTTCTTTTTAAATAAGAGAAAACACCAGCTTCAAATGTTTGCTGGTTGGCAGTCAAAGTCCCAGTTCAGCAAAGTACCTGGAACATGGACCCTGCTTTAAGCATGTGGACACTGCTAGTGGCTTCAGTGGGTTGTTTAGGTTTAGTGAGTTAGGCATATTTTAAAATATTTTGAAGACCAAAAGGAAAAAAAAGAGCTGCCAGAGACAAGTGGATGTCTCTTGTGTAGATATCAATGGAAAATTAAATTTCCTATCAAGTCCTGTGCTTCAGCAGAGCTCTTAAAAGAAGTTACTAATACAGAAGTAACTGCTGTACTGGGCCTTGCACAGAGCTCCTTTGTTGGAGTGAATGTAATTTCACCACAGTTTGTATTTTTGTCATCTTCTGCTACACACACGAGAATCGTGATCTGATCGGCCAAGCTAGGGCTTAACAGAGTTACTTACCAAGCCAGAACAGGTAAAATCTTGCTGCTGAGTTCTTGAATGAATTTTCTTTCCGTGAGATTTTTTGGGGTTTGTTTTTTTTTAAATTGGAGGATGGGAAAGGAGGGTCACAAAGGTAGACAATAAAGGCTATAGTTAAGGTTGACTACCCTTTCATAGATCTAGCTCATTTTTTTGTGTTTTAGGATTCCCAGGTTTAGCTGCAGTTTTCTGTTGGTGTATAGATCTGAAGTATTTTCTGGATTTTGCATTTTTAGTGTTTGAACACAGTCATTTAAGTGATTTTAAGTCTTCCTGCTGTGATAAAAATAACCCTTTCTTCTCCCATCTATCTTGATAAGAATTTGTTCGTATTTGTAATTCGAAAAAATTTTGCTAAAATTTGGATTAACTTGGAGCCTGTTGATTCAATATCATAAAGTCCTCATCTCTTGAAACTCCACATATGCAATGAGAATGGCGATTTATCCATTGAAGGTTGAAGCAATACAAAATATGTGTATGCTACCAAGACTTCAGCCTTAAATGTATTGCATTCAGAGCAGGTGATCCGTACCAATGCAGGGAAACGACCTACCTACCTGAAGTACCTATCTTGGCCTGTGGTAATGGTCTGGCTGCTGCAGCATGAAACTTAGCACGGGCTGCAACCCCCCCCCAGTCATAAGAATAATGAAATGGGGGGTGGTGATCAGCGGCAGTGCAGAGATCACCTGAGGCAGTGGTAAGTATCACTGCCAGCAGCACAAAGGTGAATTTTCTCTTGTGCTGAGTAGATCTGGAAAACTGCTGCCATTTTTAGTGAACTGCAGTGGTTCAAGGACCATGTGGGGTTTTCCCTTTTCTGGATATTGCAACAGGAAATGATTTTTAATTATTTTTCTTTTAAAATCTACAAGTAATTGTATTATCTACAATATGGTATCACCTCCGTCTGATGTGGTTATGCAAAAAGGGGTTAAAATATGCTTTAGGGATAGAGGATTGGTAACTGTGTATCAGAAAGTTACTGCTGAACTAAAGATCTTTTATAGTTATAGACATAATTTTCATAATATTTAGGCCAGTTATTTAGATATCGAAGTTTTACAAATCACGCTGAGTGAATATTGAAACTATATCTTGTATCTACAGTAATCAAACTGATAGCAAAACAAACAAGCTCTGTACGTTAACCTAATTTAAACTGACCGCGTAAAAGGGAGATTGTATTTGAAGTTACAGAACTGAGAGGCACTGTTGAAGTCAAGCAGCCTAATCATAGCAATTGCTCAAACCTGCATTAACTCTAGTTTTTATATGTAGAATATATGAAGATACAAGAGATACATACTTCGGAAAGGTTGCATATAAATACATCGTTAGAATAACAGTTTCAATACAAGTCTTTAAGGATAAGCACTGTTAAAAAATCAATGTGAGAATGTAGATCCAAATTCTCAGAGTTAGGCAACATCTGGTGCCTGGCTTCCATTGGCACTGCAGGAGTTATGTAAATAAAAATATTTATGAATTTGGCTTAGTCCATGTTTCCTCTGATCTCAGTAAATACTGTAAAAATAAATTGTTGACTAAAAAATAATATGTAAGAATTGAAACACATAGAACCTGCATGAATTGTTCATTTTGTAGCTGTTTTTCCCTTTAACTCCCTTCAGAATGGAGGAATATTTAAATATATCTACAGTAGGATTATAATTTTCTGAACTCGGCTTACAAAACAATGACAACTGGCTGCTTCAATCAGCAATTGGCGTCTGTGCTACCAGAAGCGAGATGTGCTGGCACATTTTGATTAGCCTAGAACAGGTAGTGATGACTGAAGTTCTCAGGTGGTAGTCATAATCAAACAAACAAACAAACAAACCACCCTGCCCTGAAATAAATGGTGATTTATTGAAAGGATATCCTTTCAGTGAGCATCATTCTATTGTATAAGAATAAGCTTATGTGACTGAAGTCTTACTTTAACTTGAGCCTTTAACTTCAGCACTGAACCCTGAAAGATGTACTGTGTATGAGGTGAATAATAAAATTTTGTTGCAAATATAATGACATTTTGAACTTCTCCCATAATACAGATGACGAGGATGGTATGGACTGCATGGACAATGAGAGACGGCCGCATTTCCCCCAGTTTTCCTACTCTGCAAGTGGACGAGAATAACTTTTTTGTTCTGCTGCTTCACTGTCATCTTAGGTTTATCACTGAAAATGATTCCTGAACATCACCACCAGTACTAGATACTATTTAAGATAGCAGGGGCACTTTCAGAGACCATTCCAAATTGAACAAGTTTCTTTCCCAAACCTACCTAAAATCCATTTTGGTTTTGCATGAAATATGAGATTTTCTCTACTACGCTCTCCTGCTGTTGCTGCTGCCCACAGTCTCAGTATAATAGCAACGTCAAGAAGTTACTAACAGTTTCTTTGAAGGTAGATGACTTGACTTCAGCATTGTACACTTTGTGCACAAGTAGTCATCTATTTTTCCTCACAGTGGAGGCTAAACAAAAAACGTGTTGGTCCAGCTTATCTTCTTCCAGAAGATGAATCAAAATTGTAATTAGTCTAAAAAGACTAGTCTATAACATTTTCTTGCATCTGTTTGTGCTGGTTAGAACAAGGAAACATAGGGGTGGTGATGTACATATGCAAGGTTTTTGTTAGGCATATCATTACTTGAAGCAGGTCTCTGTCATTAACATCTGGCTGGAATTTGTTTGGGAAACGTTTGAGAGAAGGACTTAAACTGTTGATATATATAAATATATATATATATATTATTTTTTAATTACTGTTGGATACTACAGAAGAAGCAGAAGGGCTGGGCTCACCCAGCCTGCCACTTAGAACTTCCAGGTTCATGTGCAATCATGGAGAATCAAACATTATACATGCAAGAAATGAAGGCATAAAAGCAGCAGTTGAAGTTGTTTAAGGGTCTTATAATTTGCACCAGATAACATCTTTCTCATGCTTTTCTTTTTCTTTCATGATATACATCACCTCTGATGGCTGAAGAATGTAGACAGGCATAATGGTATTGCTTTTCACCAAAATGTGTGCACCAAGGTAAACAGGTGTTTGCCTTACTTGTTTTTATTTTGAGTTTGTGAATTAGCTTTTTCTCCAGGTGTTTAACTCTGAATATTCTTTTTTTTTTTTTTTTTGGTTATACTGCGGTAGTATTTATTTTTAGAGATAAGGATTGTATGTGTCATGTTTGCAAATGCTGCTACATCTTGGATAGAACAGGCTTATAGCAGTTAATTTTGTAATATATGGAAGGACTGTACAAGCTGAAGGGAATAATGCACTTTTCTCCCATGTGGAAATTTTAACAAGGCTCTGAAATTGTACATACTGCTTAGAATCAGATTTTTGTGAATGAAATACTGTCTTTTAATTGTTTGGCAGTGGAGGTGAGGAATTCCAACTTCATGTGCCAAAGGGTTAAAAACAGACAGACAAAACCCCTACATCTTATGCTCCGTTGAGGATAAATGTAATGTAAGAGCCTGACAGCACAATAGAAAATTTCTGTTCTATATGAAGGAATTGCATTTGAACAATGAGACCATATTGATTACAAGAAAAGCACTTTATTTTAATAATGAAAATAGTAAATTTCTGGGATCAGCCATTCTCAAGGAAGGTTCACCCTCAACCAAAAGAGTCCCGAAACCCAGCATGTTACCGTGGTACCCGATTGACTGAATTTAAAACATCACGAGAAATGCTCCACTGGTAGGAGGATGTCTTTCCATTTCCAAAGGTCTGTGTCTAACAGAACATGTGCATAAACTTTAGCTTTGATCTTCAGCAATGATAATCTTAATAATAAACCCTTTGGTGCTAGGAGTCGGGACATGACGCCGTGCAGCGATAGCATGCACGTGCCCTTGCTAACGACATCTGAAAACCCCGACTCCACAGGATTATCATTTGAAGTATCTCTGTGTTCGGATCTTGTTAGCTCCCATGAAGACTGTGATATCGCAGAGTATTACTGGTTGCGTTGTGTGAATGAGTAGATGAGTCTGAAAGGAGAGATGTTCCTAAGCAGATGCCTTAGCCTCTTGATGTGGAAGGTTGAGTGCCCTAGCATGAAGCCCACTGCTGGCAGTGCATGTGCTGGGACGGTCAAGGGGTAGATGGGCATTTTTAGCAAGGCAGCTAAAGACGCAGACTAATTTAGACAATTTTTCATGTTTTGTGTTTTATCTTCAGTAGTGGATGGATAATCAGTCAGCAATGTATCATGATGTATATTCTAACTACATAGGATCTCATTCTGTCACCTTGTAACACTAAACGTGTAGAGATTATCCCTCTGCAGAGAGAGAGGAGCACAGCAAATGCGTTGCAGGTCTGTTCCGCACCGGTAGTGTGGAGGTGTCTACGCTGACACAGTGAGTGAGTGACTGAAGTAACCGATGGGCATTAATTAGTTCTCTGCAAAGGCCTCGTACTTACAGACTAAAACTATGGTGATTCAAAATCTGTGTTATATGCCTGTGTGTTTTTCCCCCTGTGTTTTCAGCTTGTAATAGCAATAAGTTTCTTGACACAGGGCACCTCTAGCTAATGACCAACTGGCACCGTGCCTCTGGCCAGCCGTTCCTTGTGTGCAGAAGAAACCCTGTGGTTAGCTCACCATCGCGTAGCTAGTTAGAATGCGGTTTGCAGTAAATATCTGTCAGTGAATTATTTTAAAACCTTTTAAGACTTCACTTTGCATTGTATTGTCTGCCTTCCAAAACATTCATTGATCAAGTTTATGCTAGAGAGAGAGTCAGCAGCCACTTCGTGCCGCCCGGGGTTGGGGGATTCTCTCTCTTACCAGTGTTAGAAATGGATGAAAGACAAATGGGCGAGTGGTGCTGAGAGAAACTTTTGAAGCTCTTCTTTTGCTGTTCGCAGTTGTGGTTGGATTTGGACAGGAGGTGGTGGCTGGTTACCTTGGCGAGCCTTTCGAGCACAGTACATTTCAGACTTTGACTCCAGCTTGTACTGACTTCCATGATGTACAGTATGCCCTCTTGTACTGCAGCCATCTCGGAGGAAATAGGTCATTTCTGTTAGGATTTTGGCAGTTTTGCACACAGCTTCGCTTTCCACACTAACCCATCTCCCAGTACATTCCTGTTGCTTAAAGAACATTTATTCCAGTATTGTTTTATGTTTTTTTCCATCTTTACTTGCAGCTTCTTAAAGCTGACTGTTCTTGCAGGGGCCATGTGCTTCTCCTAGAGTACAAAAGTAAGGTCTTTCCTTACTAACTGCAGGGTCTATATATTACACCTCAATGTACACACTTTGCTGCTACTGTTTGTACTGTCTACAGTAGAATTTCCTTATCTTGCTCCTGGTAGTGCATTACAGGCAAGCATGAAATGTAAAGTATTTATTTAAATAAAAACCTCTAAATTGGTAATTGAATTACCTCCCTGTAGCTTTAGAGTTTGTGACATTTCTTGACCTTGCTAGTTCTTTCATTAGATCCATGCAAGATCTAGTCATATGGTTAAGGATATTAAGCAGACACAACTATGAACCCAAGAAACCGTATTACTGTTGGTCATACTTAAACTGTTTATTTCCTTAAGTATATGACCCACAAGGATGTGAAATAACTACAAGAAACTGTTTTTGTACACTGTACATCCTTAGTATTTTTACACGTATATGATAGGGATGCACATTATTTTCCTTCGTACAGACAGCTTAAATAAAGCACTATGTCAATCTGCTACTTCTGTGTTTTTTAATGCTAATTTGTTCTGGAGGTTTGTAAATATATATATATATATATGTTCAAGCTTGCCACAAAGGACGTATTTTTTTATATCTGCACATTACTATTAAATATCTTAGAGGATAAAATTCCTAAGTTGTTCTGTGTCAGAGAAAGAAAAACGGAAATGAGAAGGCTATATTGCAGATTACAAAAGATTTCTCGAGTTTTGGGTTAAATATTTACTTCATATTTTAAAGTAATTTTATATAGGTTAGATGTTTCAATCCTGAAATGCACAAAGAATTTACTTAATTTCTTCTTACAAGAAAATGTACATCGTTATTTTTTTATCACTGTATATATAATGATCTGTGCATGTTTAGTTACAAGTTTTATTTGCTGTGAAGTCCTAGTGATAACTGTAACTCACTGTGACGTATCTCAAATACTGGGTGATCAGTTTCAGCTTGTAAATTATTAAGTTACAGTATTGTCAAAAAAAAAAAGTTTTTATGACTGAGCAAGATGTATCTGTGCTTTGGACCAAGGCTGTTTCCATACAGGTGGTTCATGTTAACTCTACGAGGTGTATGTCACTTGCAAAAGTAAATTTGGATTACGCTTTTCAAGTAATGATTACACAGGGCTGTGTTCCTGTCAGAACACCCACGATTTAAGGGATTTGTCATCTAATGAAAGTCAGAGCCTCATATCCCATAGCTAGGTAATGTGTTAGGGTAAGGAGAGGAAGGAATGGGAAGGTGGGATTTGCAGGGCACCTCGCAGTGGGACTCTTTGAAGCCCACAAGCTGGTCCAGGGCTGTTGGAACCAGCCGCTCAGGAGGGCTGAGTGTCCCTAAAGCAGTCGGTCATCTGCGTTTTAGCTCAGATCTCAGACACGGATCCTTCCCTGGAGTAGAGGTGCTTCATCCAGGTCTCAGGTTTTTTGGTTGGGTTTTTTTTTCCTTCTCTTTTTTCTCCCCCGCCTTGCAATAGGAAAGAGCGTGAGACAGCCAGCCAGCCAGCCGTTCGTTAGTTCAGAGATACTGGGAGAGGAGTGACCAGGACTGGGCTGCAGCAGCAGCAGGACTGTCTGGTCAGGCTGCGTCCCATGTCGCGATATCACCCTCTGGCAGCGGATGTGGGATTTCCTGGATTTGATCGCCTGGTCTGACGTGTGTAAACTTTGTAAAACCAAGTGTTTTGTGCCTAAGTAGAAGCAGGGCCGGGGGGAGGGGAACATCAGACAGGTAGACCTGGTGCTCTCTGTGCTTAATGAGTAATTAATTGCTACAAAGTAGAGTAGCTGCTGCGGGGAACCCGATTCCTTCTAGACTCCCGGCAACATAATGAATTGAGCCTACACCTGGGATGAGTATGAAAACCTCCTTCCAGCTGGGTCTACTCGCAGCCCAGGATGCTTCCTTGAAATCAGCCAGGTCTGTGCAGGCGGGTGGCCAGCAGCTGTGCTCTGCACGCAGCCACCAGAAGCCACCTGGTAGGTGAGGCTGGTCCAGAAAGGTTGAGGGTCCAGCTGTGCCTCGGGCCGGGGCAGGGCAGCTCCAGGATCTCAGT